ACTAAAAATACAAAAATTAGCCGGGTGTGATGGTGGGCGCCTGTAATCCCAGCTACTTGGGAGGTTGAGGCAGAAGAATCGCTTAAACCCAGGAGGCGGAGGTTGCAGTGAGGCGAGATGGTGTCATTGCACTCCACACTGAGTGACAGGAGCGAAACTCCATCTCAAAAACAAAAAAAAAGGATACCATAAATTTTAAAAAATTCCACAGTATATACAAGGTCATCTGACAGCCCAAAATGTAGTTTTTATTTTCATTAAGGTTAAATGTGAGCATGCTTTATTTTTCTTTTTTTTCAAGTCAAGAGTCTTGCTTTGTCTCAAAGGCTGGAGTGCAGACGTGCTATCATGGCTCACTGCAGCTTCAACCTCCTGGTGATCCTTCTGCCTCAGCCTCCTGAGTAGCCTGGACTACAGGCATGCATCTTCACGCCTGGCTAAGTTTTTATTTAGACAGGGTCTCGCTATATTGCCCAGGCTGGTCTTGAATGCCTGGGCTCAAGCAATCCTCCCATCTTGGCTTCCCAAAGTGTTAGGATTACAGTCATGAGCTACCGTGCCCAGTCACAAGCACTTTCAAACTTTTGTTTGATAGTCAGTTATTCTAATAAGTGCTACTTTGTGATTCTTCACAGTTACTGGCTATGAACCTCCAACTACGAAAGAAGAGAATTTAATTCTCTTTCAACCATCTTGAACCCAGTAATGCATAAATATGTAACTAATGTCATTCTCAGTTCTTTCTACATAGTTAAGTCTTCCTTTTGGATAGAACAATAATCAATGTTTAGTTTACTATGCCTATAAAAATATTCTCAGCTAAGCCATAAGTTTTCCCCTATTTAAAACATTTTTTTTTTTTCCTGGAAATACTGTGTTGCTATTCCCAAGGTTAGTTTCCTATGTAATTGACACTAATTCAGGCCCAGTCTTCTCTGGAATAATATAACTGTCCTCTCAATATATTTAAATACATCAGGAGTTCTGCAGTTTTCATCCCCTTGGTGATATCTTTCCTGGAGCATTCTGACTGTCTCCAAACTGGACTGTTCACCATATGTGACACACAGGTATCATTCTGGAATTTCTTCTTACCATCATGCTAGGCCGTTCTTCGCCTGTTTTGAATTAGATACATATTACTAGACCCCATGTCATTCTCTTTCTCTGTTCCTTTGAATCATCTACCTCTTCGAGACCTTCCCTAGAAAAATATCTTTTTGAGACTTTACAAGTCTGAAAATGTTGTTATTCTACCTTCACTTAACTGATAGCTTGGCTGGGTATCTAAGGGTAACAATTTTCACTACAAACTTTGAAGGTGACTGCTCCCTCTCTGCATCCAGTGTTGCTAATGAGAAGCCAAACAAGTTTAATTCCAGATCCTCTGTATGTGACCTAGTTTTTCCTCTCTGGAATGTTTAGGGTTAAGGATTTATTGTGTATTCTGAAAGTTCACAATTATGGGGTCTGTCTTCCTTCAATACGTTAGGCACTTGGCAGTCCCTTTCTTTTATCTTTGTTGTAGAGATGAGGTTTTGCTATGTGACCCAGGCTGGCCTGGAACTCCTGGCCTCAAGTGATCCCCACCTCGGTCTCCCAAAGTACAAGGATTAGAGCTATCGGCCACCCTTCCCAGCCAACAGACCCTTTCAATCTAGAAAGTTCTGTCCTTCAACAGAAAATTTCTTTGAACTATGTCTTTGATGATTTTCTATCCTACCTTTTTTTTCCTCATATTATTCTCATACTGGACCTTCTGATGAATCCCCAGTATTCTTATCTTTACTCTCCTATTTCAACCTCTTTATTTTACTCCTTTTATTGTACTTTCTGGAATATTTCTTCAACTCCATTTTCTATAGTACTGGGTTTTTCCTTTCTACTACATTTAACCTCAACCATAAGCAAATAAATACCAAGCTAAAACAATGAGACTTTTTTTTTTTTGTCTGTCAGTTTTAGCCAATATAAAAAAGTTTCATAATACCTAATGTTGGCTAAATGTGGGAAAACAATAAATGAAACTTCTTTGAAGAACAACTATACAATATCTATCAAAATTCACAAAACATGTAAAACTCCTGACTCAGTAATTTTACCTCTAGGAATTTACCATGCATTTATACTTGTACAAATGTTCAAAAATATAGATATAAACATTATTTGTTAATAGCAAAAAGAAAAAAAAATCTTATATCCAACAGGAAGCAATTGGTTATATAAACCATAATTATCCCTGAAATATGCAACAATTTCAAAAACAACACTGATCTAGATACGGTGACGTTAAATGACTTCCAAATGATTTAAGTGTGAAAAGCAAGATGGATACATAAGCCCAGCGCAGTGGCTCAAGCCTGTAATCCCGGCACTTTGGGAGGCCGAGACAGGCGTATCACGAGATCAGGAGATCAAGACCATCCTGGCTAACACGGTGAAACCCCCTCTCTACTAAAAAATACAAACAAAAAAAACCTAGCTGGGCGAAGTGACGGGCGCCTGTAGTCCCAGCTACTTGGGAGGCTGAGGCAGGAGAATGGCATGAACCTGGGAGGTGGAGCTTGCAGGGAGCTGAGATCCGGCCACTGCACTCCAACCTGGGCGACAGAGCAAGGCTCTGTCTCAAAAAAAAAAAAAAAGATGGGTACATAATTGTCTTCTGCTAGCCAGTAAGCGTTTAATGTGATTCCTAAATCCTGGATGTTCTTTTTTTTTTTGAGTGGAGTTTCGTTCTTGTCGCCCAGCTGGAGTGCAATGGTGTGATCTTGGCTCACTGCAACCTCCGCCTCCGAGGTTCAAGCGATTCTCCTGCCTCAGCCTCCCGAGTAGCTGAGGGTTACAGGCACCTCCAACCACACTCGGCTAATATTTGTATTTTTAGTAGAGACGGTGTTTCACCATGTTGACCAGGCTGGTCTCGAACCGCTGACCTCAGGTGATCCGCCTGCCTTGGTCTCCCAAAGTGCTGGGATTACAGACATGAGCCACCATGCCCAACTGATCCTGGATGTTCTTAAAAGTAGTAAATCTTTATTTTCTGAAAACTATTCTATAAAAGATAGACTACCTCTATTTCAGACTTTATTTGTTGTATTTCACACAAATACCATTCATAAAAATACTTAAAGATTTTAGGTAAATTATGTTATGCCAGATTTTTATTTTATTTTATATTTGAGACAGAGTTTCGCTCTTGTTGCCCAGGCTGGAGTGCAATGGCGTGACCTCAGCTCATCGTAACCGCCGCCTTTCGAGTTCAAGTGATTCTCCTGCCTCAGCCTCCCGAGTAGCTGGGATTACAGGCATGCGCCACCACTGGGCTAAATTTTGTATTTTTAGTAGAGATGGGGTCGAACAGGCTGGTGTTGAACTCCTGACCTCAGGTGATCTGCCTGCCTTGGCCTCCAAAAGTGCTGGGATTACAGGCATGAGCCACCGTGCCCAGCTTTTTTTTCCTTTTTTAAGAGATGGTGTCTCACTATGTTGCCCAGGCTAGTCTTCAACTCCTGGCCTCAAGTGATCCTCCCACCTTAGCCTGCCAAAGTGCTGAAAGAGCCTCTTATTTTCAGTAGTATGCTAGGACTGGATTGTACTGGCTCAAGAGGATATATTGTTAAATATGTATTTAAGGATTTTGAGAGCTGGTTGTTAATTGGTAGCTAAAAATTGGCCATAGTGGGAGTATTTAAACCATGGAAATCTGTGAATACTACCAGTCAGGGTTTTTTTTCTTTTCCTTCTAGAAAACTGATTTAGTAGTACAATCATTACCCTTATTTATACATACGTGGGTTTAGTGAAATTATTTGGTTTCTGGAGATTCAGATCTATTTAACAATGAGTCATTTCAATCATAACCACGACATTCTTCATCTCATCTTCCATATTAGAAGTACTCTTGTCCAAGCCAATTGGATTATTTTTTAAGGTAGTAACAATCTATTCAAACATTAGCTTACCACTTATAACAGATATAAATTAATCCAAACTGATATACCTTTCTCCATTATATTCTTCTAGGGGAATTTCTTGAAAAGCATCCAAAGGAAACAAATGATGGTAAGACCGTGCCAAGTGGGGAGCAGACACCAAAGTAAGACCTAACACATGAAGCAGAGAGACATGTTGAGTAGCCCAAACCTCATGAAGACAACGGCTGAAAAGACAAAAGATGTAACTTTGGCAGAATATTTTGTTTCTTTTAGGATGGCAGTTACTCATTTTACCTGTGGCTATAACAGAAGATTGTAGGATGGAATCTTAGTTCTGTCACTAAGTGTGTAACCAACCTGTCTTGGTCTATTTGCTTACTTATAAATGAAATAAAATTAGACAATTCTATTAGTTCAATTATTCATTCTTGTATAAAGGTAAGAGATGGAAAAATGTCTACTAGATCTACTGCACTGCCTTTAAAGAATATACTTTTTTCAGAAAGAGGATCAGAAAACTAGAATGCTACATTTATATATGGAAGTGGAGTACTAGGCACTCAATCTAAAAAGTAATCTATTTTTCTTTGCACAGATTAATTCCAGAAACATAGGAATAACTTAACATTTACATTAATTTTAGCAGCAATACAGATAAGTCATTCAACATTTACTGAATAATGAATAGTTGGTTTCTTACCACAGATTTTACATTCAACAGGTAGCTCACAGTACTTTGCCCGACACTGTGGACAGAAATAGCCTCCTAATGTAAGTCCTGGTTCAGTATTGCCATCCAAATGCCTGTAGAGGGGAAAATAAAGGTAATATATAAGACTCTGAAAAGTTAGAGCAGGAAAGCACATTATCTTGACCTTAAAATCTTGACACTATTTAAAAATCTATTTAAAAGTCTGTATTTTTGGTCGGGTGCAGTGGCTCACACCTGTAATCCCAGCACTTTGGGAGGCCAAGGAGGGTGGATCACCTGAGGTCAGGAGTTCAAGACCAGCCTAGCCAACATGGTGAAGCCCCGTCTCTACTAAAAAATACAAAAATTAGCTGGGCATCTGTAATCCCAGCTACTTGGGAGGCTGAAGCAGAATTGCTTGAACCCAGGAGGCAGAGGTTGCAGTGAGCTGAGATAGAACCACTGCACTCTAGCCTGGGTGACAAGAGTGAAACTCTATCTCAAAAAAAAAAAAAAAAACAAAAGAAGTCTGTATTTTAAAAAAATTTATAACTTTTTGTAGAGATGGGGGTCTCACTATGTTGCTGGTCTTGAATTCCTAGCCTCAAATGATCCACCTGCCTCAGCTTCCCAAAGTGCTGGGATTATAGGTGTGAGCCACCTGCCTGGGCTGAAAGTCTATTTTTAAATCTGTATGTCTTATAGCTCAATTATGCTACATTCATTTTTTTCCCTCTCTTCAGTTTTTTTTTTTTTTTTGAGACAGCGTCTCACTCTATTGCCCAAGCTGAAGTACAGTGGCGCAATCTCAACTCACCGCCTCCACCGCCCAGGTTCAAGCAATTCTCATGCTTGGCTTCCTGAGCAGCTGGGATTACAGGCACGTGCTACCACGCCCAGCTAATTTTTGTATTTTTATTAGAGATGGGGTTTCATCATGTTGGCCAGGCTGGTGTCAAACTCCTGGTCTCAAGTGATCTGCCTGCCTCGGCCTCCCAAAGTGCTGGAATTACAGATGTGAGCCACTACACCCAGCCCTTCATTTTTATTTTAAAGTTTCTATTACTATCTTTGAATTCACTAATTTTTTTCTTCTGTAGTGTCTAATCCGCTGTTAATCCCAGCCAATATATTTTTCATCTAAAACACTGTATTCTTCATCACTAGAAGTTTATTTGGGTCTTTTTTATACCTTCCATATCTCTTCTTACCATTCTCATGTTCTATAATATCTGGAACATACAGAGTACATTTATAATATAATTGTTGTCCTAACATCTTTATCTACTAATTTTTTTTTTTTTTTTTTTTTAAGCCTGTCACCCAGGCGGGAGTGCAATGGCACGATCTCAGCTCACTGCCATCTCTAGCTCCTGGGTTCAAGTGTATCTTATACCTCAGCCTCCTGAGTAGCTGGGATTACAGGCGTGCGCCACCAGGCCTGGCTAATTTTTGTGTTTTTAGTAGAGATGGGTTTCACCATGTTGGCTATACTGATGTCGAACTCCTGGGCTCAAGTGATCCGCCCACCTGAGCCTCCCAAAGTGCTAGGATTACAGGCATGAACTACTGCACCCAACCCTTTGTCTATTAATTCTACCAACTGGGTTATTTCTGGGTATGTTTCCATTCTGTGATTTTTCTCCATTTTATGGGTCATATTTTCCTTTGCATCCTTGGTAATTTCTGCCAGGGATTGTGAATTTTGCTTTGCCAGACATTGTGAATTTTGCTTTGTTTTGGGTGCTGGATTTTTTCTTTTTTCTTTTTTTTTTTTTGTATTCCCTTAAATATTTAAGGGTTTGTTTTAGAATATACTTCATTAACTTGGAAATAGTTTAATCTCTTCAAAACTTGCTTTTAAGCTTTGTTAGGCTGGTCCAGAACAGCTGTTAGTCTAGATTTTTCTCTCTCTCTTTTTTTTTTTTTTTTTGCCTCTGGTTCCAGTTCTTGTGATAGAATTAATTTGATCCCATTACTGTGGACTCTATTCAATGCCTGTCATGTTAAGAGGTATTTCCATACAGACTGGTGAGAACATGAATGTTCTCTGTGTGAGCTCTGGGAATTGCTCTGTCTGCTGCTTTCCAGTGATTCTTTCCCTGACTTCCAGTAGTCTCCTCACACGAAAGTGCTGATCAACACTCAGCTGCTGACTCATGAGCAAGTCTCTGCAGCTCCCCAGAGAGTTCTCTCTGTGCAGCTCTTTCCTCTCCAGTACTCTGACCTGCAAAATTATCACCGTCTCAGCCTCCTTGAAAGATGAACTTTGTTTCTTCAACTCAACATCTCCAGCCTCCATCTGCAGCCTGGGAATTCCATCCAGGCAGTAAGTTGGAGTGCTATTAGGGCCCATCTCATTTGTTTCCTTTTTGTCAGGGATCATTATTGCAAGGCTTGCTGTCCAATGTCTGAAAACCACTGTTTTATATACTTTGTCTACTTTTTTTGACAGGAGGGTAAATCTAGTCCCTGTTACACCTTTTTGGCTGGAGGCAGAAATCTTGTTTGTGATTTTTAAGAATTACTCTCTTAAATTTAATTTTGTTTTATAATTATGTAAAATACAAAGCTCTGAAGTTAAAACACGGTAAAATATTCTATGTAACATTTTGGTCAGTGATGGACCACACATATGACAGTGGTCCCATAAGATAATACCACATTTTAGTTGCACCTTTTCTGTGTTTAGTTACACAAACACTAAGTGTTACATTACAACTGCCTACATTATTCAGTACACAATATGCTGTACAGGTGTGCAGCCTAGGAGAAATGGGTTATACCATATAACTGTGATGTTAGTAGACTACACTATCTGTTTGTGTAAGTACACTCTGTGATGTTTGCACAATGATGGTATCACCTAATGACGCATTTCTCAGAACAGATCCCTATCATTAAGTGATGCATTCACAAAAGTCTAGGGTCTATCCCTTTGCTTTTCCCTACGCACTCACTGAGGTAAACATAAAAAAAAAAACTTCCCCCTCCACCCCTTTTAAGTTTTTATTATTTCCATACTACTGTTTTTATTATTAACATAAACAAGCAAATATATCCACTTACATCTCTACTTTCTTCTTAGGTGATCAGTAGCATACTACAAAATTCTCTCAAACTTACTATTTTATTTAGTAATATATCCTGAAGATCACTCCATACAAGTATACAGACATACTCTTCATTGCCTATCTTTTGAATTTATAACATAAAAGAAGGAATTAAAAATGTAAAAACATTATCACTGATATTTTAAAGGTCTTTACTTACGCCATGCTGAAAGAGGGTTTTGCATCCTGGTCAGATAAAGAAGCAATGGTGTGCTGAGGAAATCCTTCATAGAAGAAAATGTATTACTTTCTTTTTCCAAGCAAACAGCAGAATTCTAGGACTAAGAACCTAAAGATGTTCTTATCAAAAAGCCAATGAAGTTGTACAAAATATCACTTTACCACCTTTCAGATAAGCTTATTATAGCATGATGAAACTAATTCCAAGCTATAAGAAAAAGTAGAGGAAACAGGGGAAAGACCTGTCTATATATATGACCTCAGATTCTGAAGTTCATATAAATATTTTTCTTTTTCTTTTCTTTTTTTTTTTTTTTTTGAGATGGAGTCTTGCTCTGTCACCCAGGCTGGGGTACAGTGGCGTTATCTTGGCTCACTGCATCCTCCACCACCCGGGTTCAAGCGATTCTCCCACCCCAGCCTCCCAAGTAGCTGGGATTACAGGCATCCACCACCATGCCCAGCTATATATTTTCTAACTTAATAATGATCAACACTACTTTTTAAAGAGGTTGTAATTTTTACATCATTTCTGATACAACTGAAAATATAGTACACCTTCATTTTATCTAAGTTTATACTTTTATGTTTAAAATTTTGAAATGCTCAAATCTTTCATGTAATTTGTTTTCCATATATAATTTTAAATTCTGAAAACATGTTCAGGAAAAGCAGAAACCATTTTTAAAAAGAGATATTACATAAAAAATTTAAATGTATCTACATATCAAAACAAATAAATAAAAGTAAAGGCAAATAACCAACAAGAAAAATATTTGCATCAGGTGACTAAGAAAAGGTTAATGCTGGACGCGGTGGCTCAAGCCTGTAATCCCAGCACTTTGGGAGGCCGAGACGGGCAGATCACGAGGTCAGGAGATCGAGACCATCCTGGCTAACACAGTGAAACCCCGTCTCTACTAAAAAATACAAAAAACTAGCCGGGCGAGGTGGCGGGCGCCTGCAGTCCCAGCTAATGTAGTCCCAGCTACTCAGGAGGCTGAGGCAAGAGAATAGCGTAAACCTGGGAGGCGGAGCTTGCAGTGAGCTGAGATCCGGCCACTGCACTCCAGCCTGGGCGACAGAGGGAGACTCCGTCTCAAAAAAAAAAAAAAAAAAAAAAAAAAAAAAAAAAAAAAAAAAAAAAAAAAAAAAAAAAAAAAAAAAAAAAGAAAAGGTTAATATTCCTAAAGGACTCTAACAAACAAATTATAAATTTAAATAACCTTAAAATGGAATAAGAATATATATCAGTAAATCAAAAAGATTAGCTAAATAAGAGCTAAAATGTATTGAATGTTTACATCAAGCATTATTCTAAATGCACCATCTGTATTAACTCGATCCTTGCAACACACAATAAGGTAGTTACTAACATCATTAAACACATGAGAAGACCGTGGAAAAGAGAGGTCAACTAGTAATACAAAAGGCCAAAAGTAGAAAAGCATCCTACTTCGTTAACATTTAAAAAAATATATATATATATTAAATAAGGAGATTCTTTTTCTATTTAAAAGTTATACCTTTTTTCAATATAAATGTAATAAATCTTCATTGTAACATTTTTGTAAAATAGAAGAAAATAACATTTTAAAAAAGTGATCCAAGCCCGGGTGCAGTGGCTCACGCCTGTAATCCCAGCACTTTGGGAGGCTGAGGCTGGTGGATCACGAGGTCAGGAGTTCAAGACAAGCCTGGCCAACATGCTGAAACCCTGTCTCTACTAAAAATCCAAAAATTAGCTGGGTGTGGTGGTGCCCGCCTATAATCCCAGCTACTTGGGAGGCTGAGGCAGGATAACTACTTGAACCCAGGAAGCAGAGGTTGCAGTGAGTTGAGATCGCGCCATTGCACTTCAGCCTAGGCAATAGAGTGAGACTCTATCTCAAAAAAAA